GCTATCATGGCTCTCCACCTCCCTGTATCCCTTGCAGCTCTCAACAAGTTCTTTCCTCTGCCCCCCACCCCAGACCACGTTCTGTCATCCACTTGCTTAAGTCCGCCAGGTATGTCACGCGTTTTTCCCTTGTCTCTTTTTCCCTCTATTCGACTCGTGAATATTAGATTCTCCAGGCACTCCTTCCTCATTATATGTCCCAGAAACTTCAGCTGCCTTTTCCTGATATTGAATATAAGCCTCCTCCTTCTTTACAACCTCTCCAAGACCTCATCGTTGCTAACACGATCGGTTCATGATATCCTTAGCATCCTTCTGTAGAACCACATGTCCGTCGTCTCGAGTCTCTTCCACTTCTTTGAGGAAATCGCCCAACATTCGCTGCCGTAAAGAAGGACAGATGTCACGTAACAGCTCAGTATTCTTTTCTTCGTTACCAAGGAAATCCTCCTGTCTTTCAATACTCTGCCCAGCTTTTGGAATATGACCCAATACTTATACGGATCTCAGTCTCACACTTACCGTCGTCTGTCAATAAGCTTCCCAGATATTTTAACTTCTGCATCTGCTTGATTCTCGAGTTCCCGACATGCAAATCGCATTTCCGACTCAACCTTTTACTGATGACCATGCATTCTCTCTTGTAGTTTATGCTTCGTCCCTTCTTTAAACTTTCCGTTCCTACTTTACGGATTACTTGAATATTATTCGAATAATAAGATCGTTATGATTAAATCTAATTTGTTAAATTTACATAGCATTTTTTTTTACTCATTTTAAAACACGATCTCGATATGTTTTACGTAATGCATAATGGCGGTAAATTTTCCTCATCCTCGATTCGTGTTATGAATACAGTTGTTTGTTCACACTTTTATTTTAAGCTGAAATGTTAAAAGGCTGACTTAAATTGATATTCCTATTCTGAAAAGGAATTTATCTTTCAATTTACTGACAATTTGCTAAGGATTCTGAAAAAAAACATGTTTTCTATTCATTTAAAAGAAAGCTTCCATTTTTGCATCAATCTTCAATGTTAGATAAAAGTGCACCTAGCTCACCTTATCCTATGTTTGATTTCTTTAACTCCTGTATGATTTGAAAATGTGATATACTTGACACATACAGCGGTAGCCATTAAAAATATTATTTCAATCCAATATGCGCGGTATCAACTCTTTTATAGGTGAAATTGTTAAGTTGGAAAATATATGTACAAGAGTTTTATCTTTAAAACAAGTCATAAAAGAAAGAATTAATGAAAATAACTTAAAATAAAATGAGAACTGTGATATATTGATTAACAAGATAAGATATCTTGGGCGTATATATTTATAATATTTAATAACTATAAATCCATAAAATCTTATCTTTTCCGGTTAATAATTTGATATGGGTTTTAAATCCAATGTAATTTTTATCTTTGTCCATAAATCATGAGTAAATTTTATTTTAGTTTTGTATATAGTCAGTTAGAATATCTTATTAATAATTTAAGAGGTTTTTTTCGTTTTTTTTATTTGTCCAAAACGGATTAATAGACTATTATTGGGATAATGTGTTCGGTTTCATTAAATCTAATTTGTCAAATTTACATGACATATTTTTTACTCATTCTTAATCACAATCTCGATATGTTATAAGTAATTCATGATCGTGATAAAATTTTCCTTATCTTCGATTCGAGATATGAATACAATTGTCTCTGGCTACATATATTTTCTTTACCCAGCAAAAGTGTTTAAGGGCTGATTTAGATTGGTGTTCGTATTCTGAAATGGAATTTATCTTTCAAGATTCTGAAAATTTGCTAAGGATTCTAAAAGAACATGTGTTCTATTCATTTTAAAAGAAAGTTTGACCAAAATTGCTAAATCTTCCACGTAAATTGTGAAATCTGTCATGTAACAGCTCAGTATTGTTTTCTTTGTTAACCAAATATATACTCCTGTCTCGCAGTTCTCTGCCAAGATTTTGGAATGTATCCTTGGCCATCCCAATACGCCTACAGATCTCAGTGTCGTACCTACATTCCTCTGTCAAGACGACCCAGATATTTAAACGTCCGCGTCTGCTTGATTTTAGAGTTCCTTACCTACAAATCGCAGTTCGTGCTTACACTTTTACTGAAAACCATGCATTCTATATTGTAGTTTATGCTTAGTGCCTTCTTCACACTCTCCATCGCTACCTTACAGATCACACGAAAATTATTCAAATAACATGTTCGTAATGATTAAATCTACTTTGTTAAATTAACATAACATGTCTTTTTTTTTTACTCATTTTTAATCACAATCTCGATATATTATAGGTGATGCATGATCGTGATAAAACTTTCGTCATCCTTGATACATGATATGAATACAATTGTCTCTGGCTACATTTATTTTCTTTGCTCAGCAAAAGTGTTTAAGGGCTGACTTAGATTGATGTTCGTATTCTGAAATGGAATTTATCTTTCAATTTTTTGAAAATTTGCTAAGGATTCTGAAAGAACATGTTTTCTATTCATTTTAAAAGAGACTTTATCCAGACTTGTTAAAACTTCCATTTTTGCATCATTCTTCAATGTTAGATAAAAATGTACCCAGCTCACCCTATCCCATGTTTGACTTCCTTATCTCCTGTACGAAATTTGATATACTTGACACATACACCGGTAACCATTAAAAATGTTATCTGAAGCCAATATGCCCGGTATCAGTTCTTTTATAGGTGAAATTGTTAAGTTGGTGAATATATGCAGAAGACTATTATCTTTAAAACAAGTCATAAAAGAAAGAATTAATAAAAAATATTTTAAAGCAAAATGAGAACTGTGATATATTGAGTAACACGCAGCCTGTGGCGTATATATTTATAATATTTAACGGCTATAAATCCATAAAATCTTGTTTTTATCCGGTTAATAATTTGATAAGTGTTTTAAATCCTCTGTAATCTTTATCTTTCTCTATAAATCATGAGTAAATTTTATTTTAGTTTTGCATATACTCAGTCAGAATGTCATTTTAATAATTTAAGAGGTTTTTGACTTTGCCCGAAACGGATTAATAGACTATCATTGGGATAATGTGTTCGGTCTGATTAAATCTAATTTGTTAAATTTACATAATATATCCTTACTCATTTTTAATCACAATCTCGATATGTTATAGGTGATGAATGATCGTGATAAAACTTTCATCATCCTCCATTCGTGATATGAATACAATTGTCTCTGGCAACATATATTTTCTTTGCTCAGCAGAAGTGTTTAAGGGCTGATTTAGATTGATGTTCGTATAGTGAAATGGAATTTATCTTTCAAGTTTCTGAAAATTTGCTAAGAATTTTTAAAGGGCATGTGTTCTATTCATTTTAAAAGAGAGTTTAACCAAAATTGGTAAATCTTCCATTTCTTACATCAATCTTCAATGTTAAATAAAAAAAATCACCTAACTCCCCATATCCTATATTCGATTTCCTTATCTTCTGTACGAAATTTGATATAGCTGAGTCAAAAAAGAAAGAGTTAATAACAAAAAGAATTTAAAAAAAAATGATAACTGCAATATATTGAGTAACAAGATAAGCAGCTAGGGCGGGGCTTTAAACCCACGAGTCTTCTATCTGATGAGGTCACCAGCACATATCTTGAAATGTGATGTGCAATGATCCTTTTCAATTCTTAAATCTAGATATAAAGCACAGGCATAGCTGTAAATATGTCAGAACAATATACAGTTCTCGGAATTCTTTCTCAAACAACTTATAATGTTGTATTTTCTCTAAATGTTTATTTGTTTAGTTTACTTTTTGACTAGCTATCGATCAGAGAGCGCTTTATTCTAACCTTTATGCACAGTGGTTATTCATAATACATAAGAGTTAATATCACTGTGATTTATGTAAAAGCAATATATATATATATATATATATATATATATATGTCCCTTAGGTTAAACCTATTACAGTTGGAATGAACTGCATATGATGTGTCACTCTCGTTATTGTATCAGAGAACCAGTGTCTTTAACACTGCTATGACTACGGAGACTGTCCAGGCTATCGAATCAGGATGAAGTCAGATCAGATATGTTCAATAAAAATTCGACACGCAATCGTTCAATCTTGACTTTTTGCGCGATTAGGATTGACTCAGAGAAGAAAAAAAAAAGGTATATTGATTTAATCAGAGTCCACTAAAGTAAGGACATGAAAAAGGGTAATAATTGAGAATTGCCTATTGATGAAGCGTTGTCAGGTAGAAAAGATAGTTGAGATGGAAGAGGCTCGATGGGAAATAAAGAAGATGAAGTGGGAAAATAAGGAAAATAGGCATTTGGTAGAAAGAAAACGGTAAGGAAGGAAAATCAGAAAACGAGAAGAAGTAAAAGGAAGGGTAAGAATACCTATACGCAAAAACCTGAAGCGACGGTAAGTAGAAAGAAAGAAAGAAAGAAAGAAAATGGAGGTAAATAGAGAGTGAGAGAGAGAGAAAGAAATAAGATAAGGGGACATAGAAAACAAGAAAGTAAGGAAGGTGAATGCAATTAGAAAGGTAGAAAATGAGAGCACACACAAGTGATAAAGATATAAAGACAGTTAAATGGAAATAGAAAAAAAAAAAGAAAAAGAAAGAAAGAAAATGAGCGTAAATAGAGAAAAGGAGAGAAGATAAGGGGACATAGAAATCAGAAGAGAAAAGAAGTTGAATTCAAATAGAAAAAAGAAAGAAAATGAGAGTAACGAGAAAGCAAGAAAGACATGAAGAGAGTTAAAGGCAAAGAGAGAGAGTGAGAGAGAGAGAGAGAGAGAGAAAGAGCAAGAAAAAAGACAGACAAAAGGAAACAAATGAAGAAAGAAATGAGGATAATAAGAATAAAAAGAACGTTAATGAGAGCAAAGACAAAACAAGAAAATCAGATAGAAAATAGAAAGAAAGAAAGTCAGAAAGCGGATCAGTAGAAAGAAAGAAAATGATGGAAAAAAGAAAGAGCCAAAAATACAGACAGTTAAATGCAAATTGAAAGAAAGCAAGGCACGGAGAAAGAAAGAAAGAAAAGAAAGAAAGAAAGAAAGAAAGAAAGAAAGAAAGAAAGAAAGAAAGAAAGAAGGCACGGAGAAAGAAAGAAAGAAAGAAAAGAAAGAAAGAAAGAAAGAAAGCAAGGCACGGAGAAAGAAAGAAAAAAGAAAGAAAGAAAGAAAGAAAGAAAGAAAGAAAGAAAGAAAGAAAGAAAGAAAGCAAGGCACGGAGAAAGAAAGCAAGGCACGGAGAAAGAAAGAAAGAAAGAAAGAAAGAAAGAAAGAAAGAAAGAAAGAAAGAAAGAAAGAAAGAAAGCAAGGCACGGAGAAAGAAAGCAAGGCACGGAGGCACGGAGAAAGAAAGAAAGCAAGGCACGGAGAAAGAAAGAAAGAAAGAAAGAAAGAAAGAAAGAAAGAAAGAAAGAAAGAAAGCAAGGCACGGAGAAAGAAAGCAAGGCAAGGAGAAAGAAAGAAAGAAAGAAAGAAAGAAAGAAAGAAAGAAAGAAAGAAAGAAAGAAAGGCACGGAGAAAGAAAGCAAGGCACGGAGAAAGAAAGCAAGGCACGGAGAAAGAAAGAAAGAAAGAAAGAAAGAAAGAAAGAAAGAAAGAAAGAAAGAAAGGCACGGAGAAAGAAAGCAAACGGAGAAAGAAAGAAAGAAAGAAAGAAAGAAAGAAAGAAAGAAAGAAAGCAAGGCACGGAGAAAGAAAGCAAGGCACGGAGAAAGAAAGAAAGCAAGGCACGGAGAAAGAAAGAAAGAAAAAGAAAGAAAGAAAGAAAGAAAGAAAGAAAGAAAGAAAGCAAGGCACGGAGAAAGAAAGCAAGGCACGGAGAAAGAAAGAAAGCAAGGCACGGAGAAAGAAAGAAAGAAAGAAAGAAAGAAAGAAAGAAAGAAAGAAAGAGAGAAAGAAAGAAAGAAATTGTGCGTCAGTAGAAAGAAAGAAAGTAAATGGGTATCAATAGAAAGACAAAAATGATGGTACCTAGAAAGCAATAAATAAAGGAAGTTAAAGGCAAATAGAAAGAAAAAAATGAAAGAAACCAAATGAGAGCAACAAGAAAGCAAGAGAGACAAAAATATTTAAATGCAAAAGAAAGAAAACAAGAACGAAAGACAGAGAGAAGAAAGAAGGAATGAAAGAAAGTAATAAGGATTCATAGTACTAAAGATAAAACGAAAATGAGAGCACAGAGAAAGAAAGAAACTCGGAAGCAAATAGAAAGGAAGACAGAAGAAAAAGAAAATAATTGTAAGTAGAAAGAATGTGTAAGTTCAACAGAAAGAATATTAAAAGCAAAAGCACCGATGTAGAAAAGCCACCAATAAATAAATAAATAAATAACATACAGTGAGGTAGAATGACGGTAAGAGAAAAGGTATAATCAAATGAATGGCCAGAAGCATGAATTGAATACGTCGAAACTATTAGAAGGCAGACGTCAGCAAATAAAAGGAAGAAGAATAAAAGAAAAAAAAACGAAATATAAAACTACGGAGAACAAGAAAGAAAAGAGTCAAAAAATGAAGATGATAAAGAATAAGAAATGGGAGAAATAAAAAAAAGAAAACGAAGAAATAAAAAGAAAAGACGAAGAAAATAGAGAAGAACAGTAAGCAAAAGAGAAGAGAGAAAGAAAGAATAATAAAAGAACATAGGAAAAAAGAAGGAACAATGTATAGAAGAACGTAAATAAGGAATGGAATGAAGAAGAAGAAGAAGAAGAAGAAGAAGAAGAAGAAGAAGAAGAAGAAGAAGAAGAAGAAGAAGAATGGTAAACGAGAAAAAAAAACGACTCCATAAATTCAACGCAATGTTGGAAGAGTGCCAGTGTAATCCAATCAGAATTGAGAGCTCCTGAATTGAAATGACCCTACAATAGACCGTTTGGCGCACCCGTCCACAACTCTCTCCATTTTTCTTATTCAAGGTCTCATTTAATAGCGAGTCTTGTGAGTTTTACTAACCCAGCCACAACACTTATCGCTTAACCTTGGAGTTCTTTACACATTATTGACCCTTTAAGGCGATTTCTTCATGAACAAAGATATTTGAGTATAACACATTGATTTCTACTCATGGTCGGATTATATTGGTTTAATTTCAATCTCCCCTCTTTCAATATTTGCCAAATATTAAGGAATTTTTTCAAATGCCATTAAGAATTATCCAGCACTGGAATTTGTTCATATCTTCAGATCTGCTTTAGGAATGTGTTAAATTTAGTTAAAAATGATGAGTGATAATTTTTGAAAAATGGACGTTTTTCCTCTGCCGCTCCAGAAATTACCGGACTCCACTTATTATATTCTATCTTTAAAAGAGTCAGAGTGCTTCCGTAGTATGGTATCTACCGTCCATTTTCTACTATTATATCTATTATTCATTTACTAGTATGGTATGATACTTACCAACTGTTAGAAGTATGATATATGTTAGAGTCAGGGTTAGCCTTAGGGGTTAGGTGTAGGGTTAGCAGTTAGAGTTAGGGGTTAGGGTTTGGATTAGGGTTAAATGCAGTGACCGATGAATTGGTTATGTATTAAAAATCTAACAATTTTTAATTAAAATTAAAACAAACCATCAAATAGTGATTTTAATGTTATAAAATGAATTGATTCCATTTAAAAAGAAGTAAGCATGTCATCGTTTCTTCTGAGCATTTCCCAGTAATAATGATTGCATCATCATTTACGGTAGGACGAACATATCTCTGTAGATATCATACTATAGTGGCATCAGCGTCAAATCTGACCAAAAAAAGAATATTGCTGCTATATCCGGGTTGATGCTACCCAACATTCACTTTCCATTTTTGACAGATTTCAACAGCATTGACACAGCAATGGAGTTGATAAATTTCAACCATTCAAGTCTGTTTCCCCACAGAATATATATTGCAAAGTTATTACGCTATCATTATTTCCATGGCAAATTTTCAAAATTATTTCTACCTTTGCTTGGCCTTTTCATTTCCGACCGACCATGTCACATGTACAGACTGCAATCATCATCATTCATTTTGAATCTCATTTATAAGAATCAAATTCTATTCTGAAATCTTCTTCCTGAGACCTATTCCTTTGTAGAACATACTCCCATGGGGATGCTTCCTCAATCATTATACTCTAACATACGTCTACAGTCAACTATTATCCAACCTACATATCCTCATAATCCTTACGTATTTCTCACTACTGCTTCCATACAACCACCACATTCATTAATCCTCTAGCCTGATAATAAATAAAATTAAAATTCATATTTAATTTGCGGAAACACACAGGAGAAACGTTGACTTAGGTTACTGAAGAGTATTTAATAATTCAGTAGGTAAAATGACGCATCGAGATTGGGTTGTAGAGATTAGGTATGGTGTGTTTACGCCCTTTGATAAAAAATTAATTCGAAGATTTTAGAAGCTGAACAAGAGAATTTATGAAACAAAAAAATCAACCTATACCAAAAAGAGGAAGACTTGCAGAATGTTTTGGTGAAATCCGTGATCTCATTTTAATGGTGCATAAAAAAAACGAAGGAGGTTTTCATCAAGACGAGAATGTCGAATGTTAATTTCGGATGTATGACAGCGTCTGTACAGAAGTGAATTATACAGAACAAGATTTTATAAAGGTGTTGCATTAAGAAAGTCGTTCTTTTTAAAAAAGAATTCACTTAATTAAAAGTAAACTCATTAATTTTATAATGGTATTTACAATTTAAATGAAACATGGGATACAGATAGAAATCCAGGCAAGATGAACGACGAAAGAATAATTGTGAAAAGAAGTTCTATCAGCAATATAATGGAAACATTTGAATCGACATGTTTTGCTCCAAGAAAAATGAGAAAATCCTTTCACCATCACAAAATTTTGTCTGCTCCTTTTATGGTGGCAAAGAACACTCGTTGCCACCTTTGTAATGTCAACGAATAATCGTTGTCACTTTCGTAATGCTCGTTGTAGTAGAGTCTTTGTAATCGCAGATACAACTATAATTACGCCGTTGAAAAATACTGGTAACAGACGCCTTCGAATATCACTCGTGCTAATTGTACTTGTTCGATAATACTCGCCCAACAAGAAACCACCGTTTAGTGATCGGAATAGTAACCATCTAATAGTGATCCGAATTGTAATCCGTATAGTATTCAGATCAGTAAACATTTAGACGCCATGTTAATTCCCATATATTCATTTCTTTTACCATCACGTGATCTATTTATTCAAAATGGGATCGCCTGTGTTTCCTTTCTGGTGATTTGTGTTCAAACTCCAGTGTCGGCAGCGGTACTTTATTCCTATATAACAGTTTTCTAAAAAGTCAATAGGTTGATTATTAAAGAGTGATGTCACAGCTGTGAAATCTTAGATGCATCAGTTTCAATTATTTGTATTAGAAAGTGAATTGTTTATTTACAGTGAAACTGATATCTGATTGCAAAGAAGACTTCAAATTAACTTCTCTTGAAAATGGTCAAAACTTGGCATCGTGGTGTTAGCATGTACCTCCATAAAATGGATTTCACTTCCAGGAACATTCATGTTACATTAGGGGATGACACCCCGGCTTTAGCAACAGTTGAAAAGTGGGCAGACGAAATTAAGTCTTGCAAATGCCTTAAGTTATGATGGACAATCTGCAACTGCCACCAGCGAGAAAAAACATTGATCTTCATATGGTGATTGATGACAGACGATTGATTATAAAACAAATAGCCAATGCTATTAGAATATCCCGCGAGAGAGTTGAGAATAATCTGCACAATTAACATGACATGATGAAGGTTTCTGCTCGGTGGGCACCACGTCGTCTTACACCATTATGACGATAAGCTACATCCGGCAGTAAGCAAGATTGATGGTTTTGACGAGAGTGGAACGAGTTTTAATTGCATTTGTTCCCAGCATCTATTATGTTTACAAATAAACAACAAAACATTATGAGATCATAAACATACTTATTTACTGTAAAAATACAACCAATGCATCATATATGCCGGGAGTAGCAGCAAAATTGTCCAAGTAGCGTAATCTATTATTAGATTAAGATTTGAATGTTTGTATCGTAGAAATGATTAAATATATCTGACTGGAATTCTCCGAAGATTTTATAATTCTGTCGATCTCTACTTTGACAGAAAAATCGTGATGAAATCGATCATAAACGAAAATGATATGTTCATCTTTAATTAATCATAGCTAAGGTTCGGAAGATCATGACAGACTGATATAAATTTCAAATGCATATCTATTATTCCAGGATCATTTTCCAATTTATTAAAGATGATCTTCGCCCTCTAACCTTCTAACTTCCTCGCCTGCAGTAACACAGTGCCTCACAGCTTTCACCTACGATTTCATTTTCAAGTCATTTTCACTGTCCTTTGAACTACCATAGGTGTAAAATTCTCTGCCACGTGCCAAGCGTCTTATGGATTGAGTTGGATATTTTCTAATTGGAAAGTTGAAATGATGATCTCTCTTCCTGTTGTGACCTCCTTATCTAGTTTTCCTCTTTACTGACCCCTCTTTTTTAAACTTATTCTGCGTTTTCTACATGGTTCTTGAGTGAACTTTGAAGATGGACACCAGACTAAGAATGTTGGTACTATTGCAGAAGTCTTGAATGATATTATTCCTTTCACTATTGCTCAGTTGGGAAGACAGAAAACGATTTTAACCTGTTCTCTTTCCATCATAATAACTCAAAATTTTTTTTTCAGAGATTCTTACGACAGATGGGGTCTAACCTAAAAATCTGAAAAATTAAACTGACTTAGTTCAGTCATTTTTGTCTTTAGATATAAAACATTTTGCAGAATGGACAATTATGCTGTTTTACGATTTGGACAATTTTGCATTTGCATCCGCTATTTTTAGTAAAACTGTCAACAATGTTTTCTAGCAAAGTGAGCACCAACACAGTTTATATTTCGTTGAACCTTAAAAAATGTGTTCAAAATATTTAGATGTCGGCGTACAAAGACCCATAGAGGTTGATATACATTTAACCAAACCAAACAGTGAATATGAAGAAACCTTTAATATTCACTTTTTTTGTTTTTAAAAACGAAATGTGTTTGTCCAAAACATAAGTAAATATGGATTATCTCTTCCTTAATGTGTGACTTTGAGCGGTTTTCGTTACGTTCTTACGGCCGCATGCCGTCGCAAGTTAAGCAAAACCGATTCTGGTCAGTACCTATATGGGTAATCGTTTTGGAATATCGGCTGCTGTAAGTTTGGTTGTGCGAGAGGTGTAATAGATAATGGTTCGTAACAGTTAATCTGAGAGTCGAGTCCTAATACCAGGTGGGTTTTTTATAATCAATTCTGCGCAAATAACCTTGCGAGAGGTATGAATCCACCTATTATATCGTAGTATGGTTTAATTACTAAATCCTGTATCGTTCAAACCATTATTAACTACGTACTTAAATAAATAAAATTTCGTTATTAAATAACCCATAGATATTTGTCGTAATGTAGGGAAGTTTGCTGAATACAACAACCAAACAAAGGTTGATTATGAACGATAATACTTAGGAGAAGAACACATATAATATCGGCCAGCGGCTCGTAGAAGAAGCAGTCCACTGCTAGAAGTAAGTCAAGTGAATTTCACAATGAATCTTCAACTACAGACCAACATACAGTATTTACTACTCTATTTATATGAATGGGGACATACACACTATCATTCATTATCGATTTAGTTCTACACTATTTTGAATAGAGATTAGTCTTTTCTGTCAATTATTAACCGTTTTAACATTAGAAGAGGAAAGTTCATGCC